TAGAATCGTAGAATCATACGGGTTTGGAAGGGACCTCTGGAGATATCTAGTCCAACCCCCTCGCCAGAGCTAGTCTACCTACAGCACGTTGCACAGGAACTTATCCAGGCGGGTTTTGAATGTCTCCAGAGAAGGAGATTCCACCACCTCTCTGGGCAGCCTGTTCCAGTGCTCTACCACTCTCACAGTAAAGAAGTTCCTCCTCATGTTTAGGTGGAACTTCTTATACTGAAGTTTGTGCCCATTTCCTCTTGTCCCGTCACTGGGCAACACCAAGAAAAGACCAGCCGTGTCCTCCTGACACCCTCCCTTTAAGTATTTGCATTCATTAATTATGTCTCCCTTAAGCCTCTCTTCTCAAGACTAAAAAGACCTAAGTTCCTCAGCCTCTCCTCGTAGGAGAGGTGCTCCAGGCCCTTAATCATCTTTGTGGCCCTAAATATAACAACCTGCATGAGCTTGACAAGAGGAGTACATGAAATTGTACTGCGATTGCTGCATTTAACAACTGCTGATGGGCTTTGTTTCCATTAATTCTCCACTCCTTTTTCAAACCCCTTTCTAACATTCTGTAGCAATAATTTCCGCAATTTAATGATGGACCTTGTAGTAAAAGTTGAAAAGCTGCTGAAACTTGGTTTACACCTACAGCCTAATATTATCATGATCTATATCTGCTTCTTCATGCTTTGAGAAATGAGTATTTCCTTATTCATATCTTCAGAGCAGTTTTGCAAGATGCAACACTGAAATGCAACACCATTTTGCTGAACCATTTGATCCTCAGAACACTGACTCCTAAATTGCCTAATAATATCCCTGGAAAAAACTTTTAAAAGTTACTTTTCCTAGGGACTCACAAATCATTCTTAAATCAGGTACAGTATTAAGAAGCAAAAAGTTATATGAAAGAAATAGAATTGGCACACCAAGCTCCTGCAGACCCATGCAACTGTGACAGACAGAAGGAAAGCAAATTAGTTCAGCAAGTCAGACTTAATTTCAAATGTTACTAGTTTAATCCCAATTTTGGTTTACCTTGCATAAACCTTCATTTATTTGTTTTACTGAAAACATACGATATCTCATCTGTGATAGATTACTATAGGATTTTTGAATTTCCACTAGTGCATTTAAGATAAATGAGTTTTAATAAGTTTAATTTCAAGTTATTCAAAGTGTTTTACAATACCACATTAATTTTTAACAAATTAGATTATATTGACTTTAAAAGAAGGCCCTCTTTGGAAGAATTATCATTTAAACAGTCTTCAGGAACCATTGTAATGATTTCCTACTTAAAGTTAATTCTCCTGTGAATCCATGGAAGACAAAACAAAACCTGATCTATGGAAGCTACACTTCGCAATATTGTCCATATACAAGCTGACCTACAGATTCATTCTCAATGGCTAAAAGGTAATTTTCTTTCTATTTTTAAATTCTTTTGAGGAGGAAGTTCTACTATCTTATCTAAATTAAATTATCTGTTACAGGTTTGTGGCATGTACTACATTTTTCTGAGGATTTACAAGACACTACCAAAGTCACTTCACCTGGACTACCAACAGACTGGAAATACGAACAGAAAATTGAAATGCCAGAATTTTTATTCAGTGAGTTTGAAGCATTTTTCAATCCCTCAAAGCATATTTCAAAAGGTGAAGTACTATGTAGTCCATAATGTCTGATTACCTGAAAGACACAAAATAAAAGGTCAACGTGGACCCATTTTAGATCTCTCACCTAGATTCCTTTTAAAAAACTAGAAGTCAGTCATTATTATTTTCAAAATGTCACAATTGTATCTTATTTAATGCTTTTAGAAATGAAGAACTGAAAACCGGGATTTTTCTGCTGTGGAGCCGTAACATCTGAACTCAAGTCAAAATATAAGGAACCTTTCCCATGGTACTAATGGCTCCCCCTATTTAATCTTTCATGACTCTCAGCAATTAACTAACAGTAAAATGTTAAGTAACTTATTTTAATTGATAACATGAGAAAACACAGCATTCTTGTGAAAAATTATCCCTAATCATGCACCAAATAGATTGACTAAAGGTAATTCATTCATCTATGAAAGCATAACTACAGATTCACAGATCATATTTTCTATCATTTATCTCATGGAGCACTAAATGAAAATACCTTCCACCTCACAATTATTTGCAAATCTTTCTTCACAATGGAAACTGGAAGACTCATCATTGAAAACATGTACTAATTAATTGTCACATGACATCAAGCAAAATTTACAGAGCAACAGATGGATTTTGTACATTGCACTGACCTTCCAGATAAAATGTCCAAGACAACACAACTCTCTGTGGAACCACTATTTCTCTGCAAAAGTACTGTACCCACAAACAGCCCCAGAAGTGCTAGAACCCCACCGTATCCAACTGATGAGTCCCCTGTTTCTGTACCCTGGAACTGAAATAACTGCTCTGCAGTGAGACTGGATGTTTTCTTAGCAAGAAGAAATTCCAATTGATCAATGAAGCAGCAAAAGGCTTGAAGAAGTGGGGGTTTTAGCATAGAGGCATATATATTCCAAAGACTTGATATTAGGAATGCGGATGTTCAAATATTCCTCTAAGATCAGTACATATTAGTTTTGGATCACGTTTCACCCATTCTGAAAAAAGAGTCAGAACAATAGGGAAGAGTTCCATGCTTTCAGATACATTTTTGTACATGATCCACGTTACTTTCAATTTAATTCAGAGCATCATTGTATGCTGATCAGGAATAATTTAACATATGGAAATATATACAGATAAAATATCAAGATATCAAAACCATTTCTGTTTGGTTTGTAATAAAGACTGTTTTCAGACACTAAATAGGAGTCGAAATCTTCTATTTATGTTTTCTATACATGCCCTCCGTTACCAGTTGCCTGTTTTAGTCACAAATATCCTAGTTAAATACCTGCTTGCAGTGCCATTACAAAACAAAACCCAAACAAACATATTTTAGAAAACTCTTGCCAGCTTTGATGTTTTATCTTATTATCTAAGCTTTTGCTTTACCCTAGTGCTATTAAAAGTGGCAGGTATTACTTACATTTCCTTCACATACACAATTAAGGGACAGTAATACATAATAAAAACTTAACAAGTTATAATAGTCCGATAATTTATTCTTTAGTTAAAAACTAGTTCCTACAGTTAAACCAAAAGGCTCTGGGACAATTTTCATGCATGCAAACAGAAAAAAAATGCATATCTGAATTACTGAGATTAATATTTCTATCAATAAATTAATCTAACCTATTTTACTAAAGACAAATGAGGATCATTGTGTGGTCTTCTGTACCCATGAGTAATTTGCTAACCTACAGACTCGTCAATATTCTGCACACACTCTCATAGCTATTACGCCCCACACCTTTGTCCATTTGCCCAAGAACACCCACAGAAGCTAATGAAAAGTTCAGAGTCTTAATGCGTTTGAATGTACAGCATAATTGATTTCCTACAGCTGGAATTTAGGTTATTAAATGTCTTTTGTATTATCAAAAACTACACTCAGTTTCAAAAATTCAGGCAAATATGTTAATAACACAGAACAATGAAAAATAACCCTTGAAGTTGCCTTATATTGCTGTCTCTTTTTGACATTGCTACAGAAATGAATAAGGAATACCGAATCATTAATATCAGTCTTATCACTTATACAAATTACAGCACTAATATCAACTACACAAGGCATAAGTACCTTCTTAAGAATATAGATCTGTAAAAGGTAGCACTCAGTAGCACACATTACTCCTATGTTTTTAGTTCTCTAAAGTAATAGCTAGCTGATATAGATGACCATTGTTTTTGGACATCAATTTATCTTCTTAGTGTCTGTTATTTCAGATATTTTCACGGAATTGTCAGAGTTAGAAGGGACCTCTAGAGATCATCATTTTGCTTCAATAGAAATTTAAGAATTTATTTTCACTTCTCAAACTGAGATAATTTGCAATTTTTCAATAAAACAGAAATTATATCAACTTTAAGAGGAAAAAAAAAAAAAAGACAAAAACATTCCATAGCGCCCAAAAATCTACCAGTGCTGTTATTAACCAGGATTCATTAGGACCACACTCAAAACCTTGATTTGAATTGCAGCTGCCGAGTACTTCTTAAGTATTCACTACACCAGAGCAAGAATCATTATCTAAATGAATTGAGTCTTAGTCTGCCATATTGTCTGAGAGCTCTTAGGGTCATTCATATCTTTGTGTGGGGAAACTAGGGTTTTACCCTCCCAGCTCTATGCCAATTCCCTTGTATAGCTGGGAAAAAGAAACCCTTTCAAACAAGCATTTTCATCAAAATAATACTGTTCCCACAAAAGCTTTTGATTTACATCTACTAGTAATTTATTTCCAACCAGCCCCAGTAGAAAGATCTATCTGTCAGAGTAAACCCAGTCCTGAAGCACTCTAGAGACTATTCTTGCTACAATTTTTTTTCTGATGGAATAATTTACTCCAAATCAGTTCCACCATATTCCCTTCAGATTCCTATACACTTCAGTGAAGGCAGTCATCTATGAGTGTTATTTATCTATACAATACAATAAAATAATCAGATTTTAAAATCCCCCAAATTGGAAACAAATGAAAAATCCAATCCCTAAAAAAAACCAACTTTTATTTGCCAGCCACAGGATGAAACAGCAGCTGGACTCTGAAGAATCACAGCCCTACAATCTTATTTAAAAAATGCTGTATAATTACCTGCTTTGATATGTGAAAGAGATTTTCTAAGAAACAAGCCTTATTTGCACCCATGTACCTTTCATGAGAGAGTGAGCAGTTCTGTGTAGCATTTCTCCTCTTATTAAAAAGGAGAAAGGTACAATGCTGACATCCCTGTTAAGAATAGATAGAAAGAAAATACTAGAAAGTTCTCGTTGTCTAGGATACTGATTTAAAATCCACTGAAAAGCTGCACTATTCCTATAAAGACTCAGAGACTAAGGCTTAAAATACTTACTTGATAATGTCTCCTTCAAGAGCAATCACTCGTTTAATGATCTTCTGTTCAGGGTTTCTAGGAGACCTAAGACAGGGGATAAGGTTATACAGTCAGTAATGTTCCCGTTGTTTTAAGAAAATGAAAAGAAATTCCACAAAGAAATAGACACTATTAAAGTCATTAGGAGATTCCATGTTCTTCTTGATATAGCATCAATCATGATGTTCCACCCTGACGTGAAGCTACTGTAATCACTCTCATTGCAAACCATCATTGAAAAGCAGTTGTTGAAAATGACCTGCTTACAAACACCATAATAATCAACGTATCTTTTATCAAGAAAAATACACTCCACAACATTCAAAGTAGAATGTCTCACTACCAATGAAGACGGTACCTTTGCACATAGTTTAATGTTTCAAAACCTGAATTCCCCATCAAGCTTTAGCCTTATGTTGTGTTTAAACATTCGAGTCATTCAGTCACTTTGGGAAAAAAATCTCCCTACTTTATATTAATAACTATCACTTATTTAGGTAAACCTTGCCTAGGGAATTGTGGAAGTTTTTACAAAGTTGTAAAATTTTCTGAAAGTTTTGACTTTATCCAAAGCTTCTTAATGCACTTCATTTTCCTTTAAGTGTATTTAACTGAGTGGATTCTGATCATGCATTACATAGAATTATGAGAAAGCAAAGCTGAACTCGCGTGCCTAGCCGGAATACTCCAACTTCCTGGATGCATATTGATAGAGAGCATTATTAGCAATGTTATTCTTCCACAGTTTCAACTGGTTAATGTAGACATATATGCACCATAAAATTTCTCTCTTTTCTACTTTACCTCTTTTTTTTTCATTCTTCACTTTTATTTAACTATGCAAACCCAGCAGCATGTTTTCATGTTAGTTAAAAAGAGTCTTTTTATTTGCTGCTTTTACATAGGAAAGTCAGTGAAAGAACAAATGGGTTTGATTTTCTGTTGATGCTGGAGTCCTGTATATTAGACTCCAGTACAGACTGCTAAACATGCAATCACAAAAGCTTTATATTACAGTTTTCATATCTAAAAACATTGTCCATGCCATCCTCACAACAAAGCAGTACTTTTGAGCTAATCTCTGATCAACTGGTAGCACATTAAGATTCCATTTCCTTAAAAAACAAAGCTGAGATGAGCCTGGATGAAAAACTTCACGCTGCTGCATGAACTGCATTTGCAGTTCACTACCATTTCCAAAAGTTAAAAAGAAAAATAGTTACATTCTCATTCATTTTTTAAAAAAAAGAAGCCAAAAAAGTATTCCAAACATTTTAAAAGTCATTTGGAGTTTTTTGTGTATGTAAATATATTTTAAATATATTTATATTTCAAAGTAATGAAAAAAAATCAAGCATAATTTTGAACTTCGAAATATCAAATAAATTCACTTTACAGTTTATCAAGCCTGAAAATCATGTTTTCAAAAAGCAGTGTGGAGCAGTGAACACGAATAAGAACCACACTTTGATTCCCTAGTCATCACTGGAATTTTCAAATCGTATCATTTACAGTAATATTTTTTTAGCATTAATTTTACCCGAAGAGTTGCATATTCAAGTTCAGTCTTGTTTTTCATGCTCCTTATTAGGCTGAGAATGCACATTTTTATAATATTTTACATGCCAATCTTGGAAGGAATTAATCGAGTTTTAGATGCTCATATGATTCAAATATCTGGATTATCCACAGCACTTTCTGGTGCTACTCCCTAGCAGGCTTCAATGAACACTCATTTGAGCACTGACCACCTCTCTTTCCCAGTCAGAGCAAAGTCTAAAAAAAACCAACACACCTTTATTGCTACAAACCTTTATAAATAAAAATATTTGCAAAAATTACTTTACCATTAATTTATTTCATTTTTAATTTATTTAGGTTCAGACTGCAACATTTTCATGTAAAATTTAAGTAATGGAAACAATAATATGTAATGTGTGTGATAAACTGTGCATTTCTCAAAGACCTTAATGACAACAAATTTTAAGTGTACTTTCAAAATTGTGTTCTGGTTTAACACCTTACTTTCAAAGGTTCTTTGAAATTCCCCATGTAGGCATTTTCACTTGATTAGGGTGTATATCTTGCAATGTAATTACTGAGCTTTTCCTTAATTTGCATTTCTTGTGCAAAAAATTGTTATGACCTTGAATAAACATTGCTCTAAATCTGCAGTATAGTATTTGCTCTAAGAGTGGTTACTTTTCTGCCATTAATGGTATATTTAACCAAAACACATAATTTATCAGAAAGATATCAAGGAATTCCTTATAGATAGTTATTATAAATTAGAAATATTTTTAATATTTGAAGCCAGAATAGTTTAAAAATAAACTTTATACTAAAGTTCTGATTACAGTTCATGAAAGTAGCAAAGGACAGGTAAGAGAGGGAACAGCAGACTCAAACTGGCCAATAACATGGGCACTTTTAAAATAAGGATTTTCAAGATGAGATCAGAATTCAAGAGCCACAATGATTGAACATGAGGTAAGAGACTAGTTCTGGAGTGATGGATTTTGATACCTTTCTGAAAGGTTTTTATTGTAATACAGAGATTTCACTGATTATGGAAATCACAAAACCACACAGATATAGGTAATTTCTGTCTTTGAAGCTTCACAGGAGGTATAGAACAAATTAAACAATGAAGATAATTTTAGATAATTCTGTGATTCTGTGAAGGAGAAAAAAATGCCAAAACATTGCAACCACTAATCGTTTAGTAGCTCTTTCTCACTGATATCAGTGAGGTAAAAAACAATAATCTTTGAAAATGGGATTTCTTCAAAACAGAATGAAATAGAAAAACAAAAGAAAGTGTTAATTGCTTGCACCTGTCCTAAATTACACTGTGTTTTTTCATTCTACTTATATGAAAGGTCATATTCAGGCACTTTTAAGTGATATTGTGGGGGAAAAGATTAGATTTATTACACACAATGAATATATTTTGTTTCCCAAAGATCTAATTCAGAAAATATAAAGATCATTAAAATGAATTAATAAAAAACATCCATACATTTACTAGCCAGACCCACATCTGATGTTTCACAGAGCAGTCACCATTCCTTGATGATCTGAATCAGCCTTTCAAAAAGTTAAGATTACATTTTCCTTGGTAACAGTATTTCCTCATCTAAATCATTTTTCACTATGCATGAATTAGAGACATCAGTGCGAGTAGAAACAGTCAGAATGACTATGAAAATCTCAAGCACGTTACAAATACTAACGCACAAGCAGCAGCAAGCAGCACATCAGGAATGCACTAGGAAAAACATCTCTGGAGATTGAATTCTACTCCACTCATAGTCACTTTTCCTTTTTCCATGAAGTAAAATGGAAAACAGGCAAGTCTAGCAGTGTGTCCTCAAGTCATCAATTTTGAGGATAACTTACTGTTACCAATCTCTTTTTAAGCAGCACTATTCCTTGTTCAAGCACCTCAGGAGAATGACCACTGCATAATACCAAAAGAAAGCAGTGGCCTGTGTAGCATCCAAGACGGATAAATATTTTTTATTTTATCTGTCAAAACTGCTGGCCCACTGCAAATAATAGAACAAGAGAACATGTTTCTCTGAAATACCTTCTGATAATGGGACATTTCACTCTGCCTTAGCAACAATTTCTAATTTGTCCAAACTTTAAGCTTATGCACAGTGCAATGCAGAAATCCCAGCCTCATGCACAAAGACATGAATCATGACATCAAAATCCAGAGTCAGAGTTTTAAGACAAACTTACCATGGGGAAATTAGATAGTTGCGGTTGTGTTTGTGGTTTTCCAGATGCAGCCTTAGCAACTCAATGTAAGCAACCTGCCACAATTAGCAGCTGCTGATAATAATCCTAGTTCCTTCTCTTAAACCTGTATGTTTGTCTTATTCTGTATTGACTTTCAGCTCTCTAGTCGTCACTCATACCCAGCTTTCATTAAAAAACAACGAGCGACTCCACCACAGTAAAAGAAGAAAAACAAGTTCCTGTATCATCAGGACATCCTTAACTTTAGATTAAAGACGCTTATATTTCGTTACTTGTTTAAAAAGGAATTGAAAGAGTTGGGTTAAGTAGAAGTGAAGGTAGATCACCCCAGTGAGGCAAGTACTTCAAGATACAATATTCTAATGATTAATGGAGCAGGTTCAAGTTGGAAGCCTGTAACCAGTGGAGTCCCCCAGGGGTCAATACTTGGACCCGTGCTGTTTAATATATTCATCAGTGACCTGGACGAGGGGACAGAGTGTATCCTCAGCAAGTTTGCTGATGATACCAAACTGGGAGGAGTGGCTGACACCCCGGAGGGCTGTGCTGCCATCCAGCGAGACTTGGACAGGCTGGAGGGCTGGGCAAAGAAGAACCTCATGAGGTTCAACAGGGAAAAGTGTAGGGTCCTGCACCTGGGGAAGAAAAATGTCAGGTACCAGTATAGGTTAGGGGTGGACCCGCTAGAGGCAACTACTGAAGAGAAAGATCTAGGGGTCCTGGTGGACAGTAAAATGACAATGAGTAAACAGTGTGCTCTTGCGGCCAGGAAGGCCAATGGTATCTTGGGTTGTATAGGGAAGAGTGTAGCCAGCAGGTCAAGGGAAGTCATTCTCCCCCTCTACTCTGCACTGGTGAGGCCACAACTGGAGTACTGTGTCCAGTTCTGGGCTCCCCAGTTCAAGAGGGACAGGGAACTACTAGAAAGAGTCCAGCGAAGGGCAACAAAGATGATTCAAGGATTGGAGCATCTCCCTTATGAGGAGAGACTGAGAGAGCTGGGACTCTTTAGTCTGGAGAAGAGAAGGCTGAGGGGAGACCTTATCAATGCCTACAAGTATCTCAAGGGAGGGTTGAAGGAGGAGGGAGCCAGACTCTTTTCAGTGGTTCCCACTAAGAGGACGAGGGGCAACGGGCACAAGTTGGAACATAAGAGGTTCCACTCAAATATGAGGAGAAACTTCTTCACGGTGAGGGTGACGGAACCCTGGAACAGGCTGCCCAGGGAGGTTGTGGAGTCCCCTTCCTTGGAGATTTTCAAGACCCGCCTGGAT